GGAATTCTGAATGGCCATGCCCACCATGGGCCCAGAGAATGAAGTAGCTCTGTGGAATTGAGATGTCAAAGATCAAGGTCAAAAGCCAGGAGGCCAGAGCATCAGGGCCTCAGGTTAGGGAGCTGGGCCGTGAAATTGGCCAGGCCAGGGAAGAGCTGGCCCCACTGACTGATCCTGGGGGGTCTTACGTCACCAGCTGGGCACTGTCATGGGGCAACCGAGGCAGTAAGTTGGTCCGGCGCCAGTGGAGGAAGTTGTCAAGCGTGAGACCTGGGTCTTGGCTTATCTCTATCAGGTCTTGGTGGGTCCAAGCCTCCAGGCCCACTAGTGCCACTCGTACATTCAGGGGCCGGAAGAACTGAAAAAGAACTGGGGCTCAGGAAAGGGGTTCTCATGGTTAGGGGGCTGTAAGGGTGCATCCAGTCCGACACTCACTGTGTCCAGGAGGAGGGCCACTTCCAGTGTGCGGTTCAGCAGGTACTGGAAGTCTGGGTACATTTGGACCTGTGGATTAAGAGAGGTGACCATGAAAGGCAGCAGGGCAGGTGGGAGTCAGGGCAGGGCATGCAGGGGCCAGCAAGCTCACCTCTGAATGATCAGCTACAATCACTAGCTCAATAATCTTTGTCTCTGTCACCACGTCCCGCCTCCACTGTGGACAAGAAGGAGCATCAGGAACACCGGCCCTCACTGCCAGCAGCCACAGGGCTGACCAAGCTGTGTCCACTCCCACCCGGAGTGGTCACACAGAGGAGAGTGAAGAGCCCCTTTTACAGATGAGCCACTGAAAGCCTGAGAGGCCAGGGACTTGCCCAAGGTGGATCAACAAGTAGGTTAAGAAGCTGGAAGCGGAGCCCTGCTTTTCTGGCCCCACATTCAGTGCTTTTTCCAAATAAAAATACTAATAACAATAGCCAACACCATCAAATACTTACCATATGCCAGGCACAGTTCTAAGCACTTTACATATATATATTGAGTCACTTAATCTTCATAGCAACCCTATAAGGTAAGTAGTTTTATTATCTCCACTTTACAAATTAGGAAACTCAGTTTTTATTGTTTTATGATTGGTAACTATGTATTTTCTATATTCAAGTGAGCTCTCTACATATGGGATCAGAAGACATGAGGAGTTTGAGTCTAGACCCTACATATAATTCCTTGATATACCATTTGTTAGTGGAATGGCCTTGGGCAAGTCGTTTAATCTCTCTCACTAAAACAGTTACCAATAACACCCACCTCCCAGGGTGGTGGAGATAATGTTCATAAAGTGTCTGGCATGTGGAAATTACTCCATTAGCAGGAGCTGTTGTTACTGTGAACAAATTACTCTTGAGGGTCCCCAGGCCAGCCCTCCTGCCATTTCTCCTTACCCGGCGAATGTGACGCTGTCCCAGGGGGCGCTCTGGTGGAGCCTGAGTGGGTTCTGATTCACGCCAGCTCAGGGTGCAAGTGTGGCCTGGCAGAAGGAGGTCTTGGATCTGGGAGATAATGGGAAGGCCCCCAGGCCTCAGCTCCAGGGTATAGCTTTTCTCTGGGGACAGGATCACCAAGCCCCTAAGGAAAGATACAGGAAGTCAGACAACTTTTCAGCTCCATGCCTCATGGCCTGCCACTCTCTCCACTTTTGTGGACTCCACCCCCTGTACCTGAGCCCGGAGCAGGTGCAGATGGAGGCCCAGGAGTCTGCATGCCCCTGCACTCCTCCCTGGTAGCAGCAGTTCTCCTACAGCACAGAAGCATAGTGCCAGCTCACAGGGTAGGCTAGGTGTCAGCCCAGGAGACTTGCCTATTGGTTAAGATATGCAGCATTCCCCCACATCCTCCAGGGATGGCACCCTCCAGTTGCTTCCTCCCTCCTTCCCTCAGGCTAGAAACAGGGCACAAGAGGGCCTCACTCACCAGAGTGTGTCCCTCACTGACTACCCGGGTGCCATCAGGTTGGTACCAAACCAGGGTTGGGTGGCCTGGGATTAGCTCCCTGTGGAGTGAAGACAAAGGAGGGCAGTATCAGCTGTCTCTCGGGTGGTGAAATGTTAGCCTGAGGCCTGAAGGTGATAGAGGGCTAGCTGGGAGGCAGGCAATACCCCAACCTTACTGATTTCCCCCTGAGGCAGCAGAGTATAGTGGTTGAGCCACAAATTCTGTCAGGCTATCTGGGTTCCAACCTGGTTTTCACCACATACTAGCTGTGTGACCTTGGGCAAGTTATGAAACCTCTCTGTGCCTTGACTTCTTTATATATAAAATGAGGATAGTAATAATAATAATACATAATTATATCTATTTATAGGGTTGTTATGAGGATTAAATGAATTCAAGCACTTAGTATCTATCATATAGTAAATGCTATGTAAGTTGTTAGCCATGCTATCATTATTATTATTACCAATTACTATTACCTATTCTGTAGCAGCTCCAGGATATGACTCTCACCATCCAATTCCAATTTGATCCGCAAAGTCTCAGGGAGACTGGTCTGTAGGCACCAGAGAGCAGGTCACCTCCCTGGCCCTGCCCAAAATTCCTATTTTCCCTAATCAGAAAATTTCAGACCCTTAGGAAAGCACCAATGACTGGGTGGGGGGAGAGTGTCCCAAGGGAGGGGTCAGGAAGGCCTGCCTGGCCTGGGGTATTGTTCTGGGGGGTTGTGCAGGGAGGTCAAAGAAGGTATCTTGAGCCGTCCTCTTCTCGGCTTCCTGCCCAGAGAGGAAGCATCATGAAGGACTCAGTGCAGGCCCCAGCCCTTCCTCTGACTCAGCTTTAGAATTGGGGGTAAGAGGGAGGGCATTTGGTGAGGTCCTGACTCTCTCTAAGCCCCCTCCCACCTTGCCTTGACCAACAAATGAGACCAAGAAAGTATGACCTCAGAATTTCCCATTGGCCATGAATGGGTTGAGTGTGGCTGAGGCGGACAGATGTGTGGAGGGAAGAGGAAGAAAACTGAAGAAGGTGCTGGGATGTGGTGGGAGAAGCTGAGGTGGCCGTGCCACAGTGAGGTCAACTCACCTGCTCTTCAGCCAAGCTTTGTCTTGAGACATCTGATTGGGTAGGGTGACAGGGTAGTAGGGGAGTACGTCTTTATTTGAGGGGGGAGGGAGGCTCACCTGAAGCACCTCTGCTAGGCTGAGTGTGAGGTTGTCCTGAAGAATCTGGGGTTCAAAGGGCCCACTCAGGGCCCTCTCTGGAAATGCCCGCTCTTCCTTGGTGCCACCTGCAGGGTCCCCTGAATACCCCAAGAGAGTGCTGACAGCACCAGCTGGTGCCCTCTGACCCACCGGATTCCCAGTACATCAAAGCCCTTCTCTGCCTGGTGGACTCCTGCATTGCATTCTGGGACTTAAAGAATACTGGGAGTGGGCTTTTCTCCAACAGTGTGCTTTCATCCCACCAACACATCAACAAATCCTCAGAGAAAGAAGTTCAGCTAGTCCAGCCTGTGGCTCCTCCGTCACCCTCAGGCCAATCCCAAGTTCCCATAGGGACCCGTTCCCCTTCCCACTCCCATCCAATCTCTCCACCAGAAACGTCCCCTCTGAGGACTAGGGAAAGCTTGTGGCTGGGTGCCCACTCACCCTCCCCTTTCCTCACATCGGAGATGCTGGGAACGCCCACATCTGGGTGAGCAGTGCAAACATCTCCCCTCCCTAAACACCCCTCATGCCCAGTCAGGCACACCCGTTCCCCACAGCCTCTGCTTCCTCCCTGTGTCCCTCCCCCCACCCCCCACAATGGCCCTCTCTCCGCCGGACACTCCACCCTTGCCTGCCCTCTCGCCCCCGGCCCAAGACCCAAGCAGGAAGTGAAAGTTCCAAGGAGGAGTTGGTGTCCCAGCCACTTTCCTGGCCAATTCTCCCCTCTCTTGGCTCCTCCCGGGCCCCCTCCAGCTCGGCCAGGTTTCTGGTGGCATCAGCACCAGAGTAAGGGGTGCCTGGCCGCTTAGGCCTTGGAGAAGGCGCTGGCAAGATCCTCTTAGCCAAACCCTACAACCGTGTCCACTCGGCACCCTGGCACCAGGTGAAACGGTCAACTAGGCCCCAAAGGAGCGAGACGTCAGTCCTGGGAGCAGCGACCCTCTCTCTCCCAAGAGCCTGAGGGGGTGGGGCGCTGCGCCAGGCCGCTGGGTGCCTAGTACCGGAGCCTGGAAGTGTCCTCGGGGACCGTGCTGAGGATGATCCTCTTTTCCACTCCATCGCCCAGTTGCCAGGCCCTCGGCCCAGGACAGCAGACCAGGGCCAGCTGCGCTCTGGCTTGGGTCTCCCAGGGTCTCCTTCTGACTCCGGTACCCCAATATCTCCCGACTTCCCTGCGCCTCTTTCCAGTCCTCCCCTGGCCCCCTCCTGGCGCGGCACTCACTTGTATCTGGAAGCTCCGGGAAGGGCAGAGGGCTGCCCGCGCCCAGGAGCCCCAGGGCCCAGAGCAGCGCCAGTCGCATGACAGCGGCGCCCCGGGCCGGGCGAGGGCAGCAGGTGCTGGGCCGCGCGCCGAGGAGCCGCGGCGGCTGGGTCTCCCTCAAGCACTCTGCCGCGACGCGCAGCCGCCAGGCCCCGCCCCGTCCCCCTCTCCTTGGGTCCCCAGCCAGGCCCCGCCCCGCCGCGGCTCCGCCCTGGGAGAGGCCCCGCCCCAGCCTCGCGCAGTGTCCTAAAGAAGCGGGGACCCAGCCCAGGACTCCCGCTCGCTCGGCTTCGCACAGCCGCTTTCCTGCCACTGCGCTGGGTGGGAGCCGAGGTCCGGTCCGACCGGCTGGTGCGTCGCGCCTCCACCCGGCCGCAGGTCTGCACCTCTTCCTAGCAGCTTTGCTGCCCTCCCGCCGCTCGTCTGCCGCCCGGCCCTGCGGCGCTCAGGCGGGCCACTTCTCCCGACTGCCCGCCTGGCAGAGGCCGGCCCTCTCCCCGCCCCGGTACCAGACCCCTGCGAAGCGCCCGCAGCAGAAGTGTACATGGCTTTTTATTAACTAGGAAGGAGCGAGGTGGGAGAGCGAGCAAGACGCCCCTTCACTCTGCGTAGGTAGCGTCATCGTTGCTGTCGCTGTAGGCGGAGGAGGAGAGCTCCTCTCGGGGTGTGCAGACCGGGCACCGCTGTCTCATGTCGTCCCAGCACGACCTGCAGTACACGGCCTCGCAGTCCGGAGTCAGGCACACGTAGGACTCGGGCGTCTCCGGTGCCTGGCACACCACACAGCGCCGGCGCAGCCAGGGGCGCAAGAAGGGGCAGCGGCGGTGCAGGATGTCCACCAGGTGGTGGAGCTGTTGGGAGGCGAGGAGAGCTTAGAGCGAACTGGGGAGTGAGGTGGCAGAACAGGGCGCGAGGGGAACTGGACAGGGCTTCCTGTCTGAAGTCTCAAGGCGTGACAATGCCTTCATGTTGGAGGAAGCTGGATTGAGCAAAGAAGACCCCTGGAGGGTAAGGGTGCTATGGAAGTGGGTCCTAGAGAGCCCCCCCCCCCCCCCCCCCGCACTTCATGATGGAGAGTGGGAGGATGAAGCCTGGACTCTCCCAGCTAGTAACAGCAACAACCATCATTTGCACTTTCCCATAAATCATCTTATTTGGTTCTCAGGGTGGGGCTGAGAGGTGAGTAGGGCAGATAAGACTATCACTATTGTGTTCCCCACTTTACAGATCAGAAAGATGAATCTCACAAAGGTTAAGTGACTTTCCCAAAGGCACACAGAAACTATCAATCTAGCAGGACCCAGGTACCCTCGTTCCAAATCACAACCCTGGTGCATTATGCTCCCCCTCTCTCCCACCTGCTCTCCACATGATTGCCAGGAATTCCTCTCCACAGGTCACCTTATCAGGTCACTCTTTGCTCAAAAGACTCCAGGAGCCCCACTGCCTGCCAGTTAAAGGCAGAACTCCTGGGCTTGGCTTTCATGACCTTACACAACCTGGTCCCTTTCTAGCCTCTGCTCCAGCTTACCCCTTCCTGAACTTTACCTCTTCTGTGCCAGTGTCTTAGACTACCCTGGCACTTGGCATAACTTTTCTTTGGATTGTCACTCTTTGCACATTCTATTCCCTCAGTTTGGAATGAATGCCCTTCACATTTCCATCTGCCCATCAAAATCCAGTATACTTCATGGAATCACAGTATGTTCATTTTTTCATCAGATATCCATTCAGTCCCTATTGCATTTCATGAGGGATAGGGGATCTGGGCACTGGAGGAAAAAGTTAAGCAGACATTCTCACTTTTATGAGTTTGGTTAGGGCTGATTAAATAAAAATGGGTGCCACTTATTATTTTAAAAATAATATTGGGCCCTGTACTAAGAAACTGTAAATAAATTAACTCAATTCAGATAGTAACCATATACGGCAGATTGTTATTATTATCATCATCTCTTTTTCAGGTGAGAAAACTAATGGTTGGAGAAGTGGTCACTTGCCTAGGGTCACACAATGACACTAACATGTATATAGAACTTTCTATGTTCTTGCACCATGAGAGCAAATCTAATTTAATCCTTACAACAACCAAATGGAGTAGTTAACTCCATTTTACAGAAGGGAAACAGCTAGACACAGCATTTATTTATTTATTTTTCAGATAGAGTGGGAGGGGGAGAGAGAGAGAGAGAAACATCAACATGAAAGGGACACATCGAGTGGTCGTCACCCACACAACCCAACCAGGGCCAGGGACAAACTGCAACCGAGGTACGTGCCTTTAGCAGGAACCGAACCCAGTTCTCTCTGGACCGCAGGCCAACGCTCTAACCGCTGAGCCAAATCAGCCAGGGCAAGACACAGCATTTAAATAAGTGTTCAAGATCACATAGTTGTCATAGTAATAAGGGAAGGAACCATGTTTTCTTTTTTCCTTTTCTTTTTTAATTTTTAATTACCATAACTGACCTTTTATTTTTAAAAATTACAGGGAATGATTTATAACATATTTTATAAAAGAACTGCTTAGCCCTGGCCGGTTTGGCTCAGCGGTTGAAGCGTCAGCCTGTGGTACAGAGAGATCCGGGTTCGGTGTCCGCTAAGGGCACGTACCTTGGTTGCAGTTTGTCCCCAGCCCTGGTTGGTCGTGCGGGTGGCAGCCACTCAATGTGTCCCTTCACACCAATGTTTCTCTCTCTCTCTCTCTCCCTCCCGCTCTATCTGAACAAAAAATGGAAAAATGTCCTCGGGTGAGGATAAAAAAAAAAAAAAAGAACTGCTTATATCAAACATTTTATATCACTATTAATTCCATTCAAGAGCTGCATTTTTTTAAGGTACTAATTCCAATTGATGGGACACTTGCCCTTAAAATAGAAAGTTTCCATTATTTACTCAAATGTCAAAATTAAGATTATTAAAAAGGCCCTGGCCTGTTTGGCTTAGAGTGTTGGCCTGCGGACCAGAGAGTCCCAGGTTAGGTTCCCGCTAAGGGCATGTGCCTTGGTTGCAGTTTGTCTCTGCCTTGGTTGGGGTTGGGTCTCTCTCGCATCTATGTTTCTCTCTCTCTCTTCCCCCCTCTCTCCCTCCTGCTCTATCTGAAGATAAATGCAAAAATGACCTTGAGTTAGGATTTTTTAAAAAAAGATTACTGAGAAATTTGTTGCTTTATGGCTGGGCAAGATGCTACTAGCACATTTTAGGAAAATAATAATCTTTGAAACAGGATTTAAACCCAGGCCCTCTGGCACCAGAGCCCTACACCTGACCATCACTCTATCACTAGTCTCTAATGAGCAGGCCTTACAGATCCATCTAACCTTCCCATTCTTCAGAGGGAAAAACAGGTCCAGTGAGGACTACGGCCAAAGTCACACAGCTTAATGAGGGAGTGTAGACTGGAACCTGATTCTTCCAATTCCATGCCCTTTCCATATACCACATGCCCTTTCATGAGGCCTCTCTGACCCCCAGCCTACCTGCCTCTCCCCTCCTATGATTGCACTGAGCTTCTGGTCTACCGTCTTTTCAGTAGAACCCGTCGCTTTGCCTTGGGTCCCTTGTTCCTGATGAACCCCTCTTGCTTTCTTTTGACCAGACTATATCAAATCTGATTCCTCTTTGCTGCCTGCTTCCTCATGGTCCACTGAGTATCTCAGGCTGGGCTGACTTCGGGGTACAGGGATGGTCACAGCCCTGACCTCCAGGAATTGGATGACCTCCTTTGGCATGAATCATGTCAGAACTCACTGAGCTTCAGTAGGCCTAGGGCCTTGGTGGGGGCTGGGTGGACTGAAGGAAAATGCCTTTCCTTCGCAGTCCTCAGACCCAGCCAGGAGCCACAGGAATGCAGGCCTGGACTTACCCGGGCCCTCTGCTCTCGTGCCTGCCTCACAATGGCCGCCCTCCTCAGTTGGGTGAAGGCTGCTCTTTTCCTCAGGAGCTCATTGTAGAGAAACAGGATCCTCTTCTTCTCTCGCTGGGGCAGGGAGAGGAGCGTCAGTGATAGTGACAGTGCTGAGAGGGAAAGTACTCTGTGGGGAGCTGCAGGCCCCTGCGGGGTGTGTGTGAGCGCTGTCGGTAGGGGTGGGGAGGTCAGGGGAAGGTGCACCTTGGGGAAGTAGAAGGCTGCGATGACCCTCCGGAGCCGGTAGGCGAAAGCCTGGAGCAGGCAGAGACACACTAGCAGAGCAGTGGGTAGCCCAGCCCTCAAATAGGCTGTGGCATTCAGACACACGGGCTGAGGCAGACAGGCTAGGGGTTGGGGGAAGCCTGTCAAGGGTCTGGCCAGGACCAGCTGAGGGACAGGGCAGCCCTGGTTGAATTCCCCATCCCACTGAGGGTGCAGGTTAGACCTCTGATACCCTGCCTTACTCCTCCTTCCCCTGCCCCTGAAGAGCTGTGTCATCAAAACTGTAGCCATTAGGCCCATGTGGCTATTTGCTCAACACAGCACAGATGTAGAAAACTTGCATCATAGCACAAGTTCTGTTGGACAGCGCTGCTCCAGAGGACTGGGACCCTCCGGCCCTAGGGACCCAGGCCCCAGACTCCTGTGACCCAAGTCTGTCATCTTCCAACTCTTCAAGTGGGACCTGATATGTCCTGCTCTGATTCCCCAATGCAAGCAGGCTGACCCCTATCTCACTACACCCAAGGCCCAGTCCCCCAACTCTTGGCCTTGGAAAGACCCTTGCCCCTCAGCCCTCAATTCCTCCGATCCAAAATCTCAGCATCACTCACGCACGTTGTTTGATCCCACCACTGTCTCTGAGGAAGTGTTCAGGGCCCCAATGGTTTTCCGAAGAAGCCGGGCAAGCATGGAGTCTCCCCCAACTTTCACCTCCAATTTATGACTGCCTGAGGCAAAGATCCCAGGCCATGGGATGGGGGTGGGGATAGGGGTATGTTAGGAAAGAGTTGCAGTTAAGGGGGTGGGGAGAGGTCTGGGCATAGGAGTACTTCTCAACTGCACATTCCATCCCTCACTGAATACGAACCCCTCCTTATTGTAGATATAAAATGGGTTGGAAACTGAGGCCCCCAGTAACAGTTGTCAGGTTGCAGGGTTCAGACTTGACCCTGGGGAGGATAGAGAGGGGCTGAGAGCCAGAGGGAAGTGACAAAATTGGAAGAATTGGGGTGGGTGGCTGCCCAGGGGTGGAGGTTCTTCAAGGGGGCGTCTCCTGGGGGTGCGGGCTCACTGCGGAAGGAGTACTGCAGGAAGGAGTGGCGGCGGATGGTGTCGAAGATGGAGTAGAGAGCCCAGTCCAGTCCACACAGCACCACCAGCAGCAGCAGAACAGGCAGTGTCTCCATCATCTCCTTAATCTGCCCAAGCGCAGGAGGGGTGGAGCCGGGTAGCGCCACCTGCCCTGGCATGGAGCCCTCTCTGATGCCTCCACCATCATATCTGTGCCCGTGGTTGCCTCCCCTGATATCCTCACCACATTTTTCATTTCTGAGGCCTGGATAGAGGGGTCATAGGGGAAGATGACGGTTTTCTTTTCAGCTTTGCGAAGTGGCAACAGAGTCCGTTTGCCCTGGAAAAAAATGTTTACACAGTGAGGAACACCAAAGGCCCTCTCCCCTTCCCCCTCTGCCCTCCTGGAGCTTGAAGCCACACAGGTCACATAGCAGCACACCCTTGGGCAGGGTTGGGTCCACTCACCAGCTTCTTCCTGCGTTCATCAATCTGACAGAAATAGGTGCTGATGTAGATGTTGTCAAAGCGAATGTCCCCATTATAGCTGTCCATGTAGGAGAATGACCTGTGGGTGAGGATGTCTCCATCTCTTTCCAGTTCTCTGCACTCACCCCCAACTCTGGGCTTTCTTAAGGCACAATCATTCAACTGACCAACCAGCATGCACTGCGCATCATGTACATCCTAGAAGTCTCTGCCCTGCCCTCCATCAGCACATGGTCCAGTGAAAGACATCTACATAACTGATGAGACGTAACAGAGGTGAGGAGATGTACGAGGTGTGTGCATGGGAGGTAGAGGAAGGTTTCCTAGGCAAGGATCTTGCAGGATGAATAGCAAGCAGAGAAAACAGCAGAAACAAAGGCACAGAGGTGGGGGGAACCCTTCAAGGTTTCAAGAGTCACCTGATCCATTATGACTCCCACATTCACTGCTTGAGTCTTTGCCTCTCAGCTGGGACTGCAAAACATCTCCTGGAGGTCCCTTCAGCAAAACTCACTCTAACCATCATTTTCCTTCAACTCTGACACTCCCTCGTGTTCAGCAGTGTTTTCTGTGCGTGCACTGCGGTGTAACTCTCCTCTGTGTGTCTCCCAAGGTTCCACATAATGCTTCAATTTCCCAAGAAAAAAATGTTAATTGTTGACAGTGTGCTTGAGCCCAGTTGGTGTGGCTCAGTGGTTGAGAATTGACCCATGCACCAAGAGGTCGCTGGTTTGATTCCCAGTAAGGGGCATGCAGGAGGTAGCCAATAGATGTTCTCTCTCATCGATGTTTCTATCTCTCTCTCCCTCCCCCTTCCTCTCTCTCTAAAAATCAATAAAGAAAAAAAAAAGAATTCTTGCCCTGGCCAGTTTGGCTCAGCAGTTAGAGCGTCGGCCTGCAGTCCAGAGAGGCCCAGGTTCGGTTCCCGCTAAGGGCATGTACCGCGGTTACAGTCTGTCCCTGGCCCCAGTTGGGGTCGTGTGGGTGGCAGCCAGTAGATATGTGTCTCTCACATTGATGTTTCTCTCTCTCTCTCCCTCCCTCTCTCTCTCCTGCTCTATCTGAAGATGAATGCAAAGAGTATACTTGGCTGAGGATAAAGCAACAACAACAACAACAAAACAAAAACAAACAAAAAAGAAAATGTCTTTCAAACTATAAAATTACATTAAATAATCTCTGTGAACTGTGAAACACAACTTCTAGTGCTATTGGTTTTGGGACCTTGTAACAAATAATCCATACATCTTTCCCTTTTAGGTAAAATAACTATAAATGCAAAGAAAGATTGTGAGCGCCCCCTTGTGGAGAGACCTATCTCAACTGTGCAAAGACCTCTTCACCAATGCTGCCCCTTTAGTGAGGGACCTCACCCAGGTTGAAAGCCTGGAGGTGCCTTTTGATTCTGTGCCTCCTTCCCTCCCTCCCCAAGCTTGCTCTGAGACCTGCCACACCTTTCTCTTCCTCGGTCCTTCTCAGGCCAACTTCCCGCCATGTCCCACTCCAGCCAGGCTCCCTAACCTCTGACCCACATTGGACTCCTGCCTTCAGTCTGCTCCAGTCCATCCTGCAAACACCCCCAGGGCTTTCCAGACTGTTCTGGCCATGCCCACTTTGGTCTAGTCCTCTGCCCTCCACATCCCACAGATGCCAGGATCCTTGCCCAAGAAAACACCCCTTTTCTCCCAGACCATGGTTCCCCATCTGCAGCCTTTTGGAGCCCATTTATGGCTTTGGCAGGGGCACCTGCTCAGCTCCCACACCTGTCTGACAGCCCTTGAATCATGTATGTTTGTCAGCTACCTCTCTTGTCTGCCCTCACCCATTAGCTTCTTGAGGGCAGGAATATGGCTCATTCATCTTTGTCCTCTCGCAGACACACACATAACCACTCAATGGCAGTCACTCGAGGCCCTACAAACAGGGGTAGACGGAACAGGAGCCCCCATGGCTGTCCCTGCCCAGCCCCTGCCCAGCCCCTGCCCAGCCCCTGCCCAGCCTCTGCCCATCTCAGGCATTGGGGGTGGAGACAGAAAACAGAGGGTCCAGAGGTCAGCAGGGGATGGAGAGCAAGGCTCAGGGCAACCAGCTGGACGCCAGACTGGGTGGGGTTGAGGACTTTGGCCTAAATGGAGGGAAAGTAGCTGCCAACGCAGCAGGCGGGAGAAAATGAAAGCAGAGTTGAACGATAAAAATGGCACAAAGTCAGAGCCAAGGGGAATATGAAGGGCAAGAAAAAAAAAATCAAAAGTAAAAAAAGTCAGCGTTGGGATAAAGGCTGGAAGGAGGTAGATAAATGAAGATGGTTACCCTTTTAAGGTGGTAGGAACATGGGTAATGTTTCTTTTGACAAAATGCCCACATTTCCTTTAACTTTGTGTAAACAATGAACCCAGCTTTATAAAAGGCAAAGTCAAAGGCACAAGAACATTCACATTCAGGATGGAGGTGGGCTCTGACAGTCCATTCTTACAGCTTCCCTCAGGGTGGGGCTCCTGGAGCGGGGGTGGGGGGGGGCGGTTCAAGGCTCACGCATGAAGGACGAGCAGGAAGGTGCAGGACAGCAGTACGTGCAGCAGCCCCAAGGCCCACTCCAGCTTGGCCTCCTGTTGTCTCACATAATCCTGCACCTCGGTGCTCATGTGTTCCCAGCTGGTGTTGAGGCCCAGTAGCCCAGCCTGCTTCTCTTCCTGCTGGAGGGCACAGGTGCAGGCCCAACCTACTGCAGCCTCGCAGGTCCAGACCCAGCCTTTTCGTGGCATCTCTCTACGGTGCCCCACTCATGGCATGTCCCCTGGCTCGTCGCAGGACCCTGGGAGCTGCTGCTTCCTTCTGTTCGACACTCTCCTTGACACAGCCTTGCTCCCTTGTACCTATATGAGCTGACACCATCTCATACCTGGCTGACCATTCCATCCCAAAGTCAGGTCCATGCATAGCACAGGCCCGGCACTGTTCCTCTCTGTGCAACCCCACACCACCGCCAACGCGATTTCCCTCCTTGCTCCCCTCCTCGTGCCCAGTAGCCTCTTTCCTGTTAGCCCCCTCACCTGCCTTTTCTCAGACCCTGTGCCCTGTGCCCTCCTCCCACTCCTTACCCACCCTCCCTTCCAACATGCCCCCGCCTCCTACCTTGAGGTCAATTGTGGCTGAAAATTCCCCATCCAGGCCATGAATAGACTGGTTGACAGAGTCGTAGGTCTGCCCAAAGTTGCCTTCCACTGGGATGCGACTGCGGCACCAAACTTCCATTGCTGGTGGGCAGGGAGGCCAGGTGAGGGGCTGCCTCCCTGTGCCCAGACTCCAGACTTCCCTTCTGGGGATGCTCTTCATTCTGCTTTTTGCCTCCCTGCCCATCACTTTCTACTACCCTGAGTCTATTCCCTCTTTGCTTTTCTTGAATTCTTTTCCCCAGGAACAAGGCCTGAGTTCCCCCCGTTTTCCACCTGTTTATAACTATACCAAATATTCATAAAGACAGTCGATATTTATAGAGCAACTTCTCCGTGTGCCAGTTCTGTTACCTTCTTCATGTTGTATCTCCTTAAATCCTCAAAAATTCTGGATGAGATAAGCACTGTTATGATGCCCATCTTCCAGATGAAAAGACAGCTCAGAGCAGGGCTGTAACTACCCTGGGTCACAAAGTCAGTCAGTGGAAAGGCTGGTTCTGAGGTTGCTGTGTCCTCAGAACCTAAAGTCTCCCCACCTGATTGCTTCCTGCCCCACATCTACCCAGTGCACCCCAAGGACTCAACTCCCTTATCCTGGTGCTCCCCACCCTCCTGCCACTGTGCTGACCCTTAGCAATGCCACAGAAAAACTTGAACTTCATGGGCAGGCAGAGCAAGTGGTTGAGGAGTGGGACCCAGATGCGCTGCATGCACTGCTCATGCTTTTTGTCAAACCAGCGGCGGCAGCTGAGTATGGCCTTGTTCACCACGTCTGTGGGAAGAGGCAAGGGCTGTCTGAGGTCCCCACACCCTGACCTGGAGCCCTGGCTCCATGGCCTGCCCCCACCCTGCCCCACCTGGGGACACCCCTCACTGGAGCAACGAAGCTTGGTCTTCAGCTCATACATCTTCTGTGTGGAGACGCGGTATCTGGAGGCCTTGGCTTGGTGGGTCCTCACCTGCTGGGCTGTCTCCTCCTCCAAGCCTGTGGCATCCTCAGGTGTGTAGCCAGTGTCACCATTCACCTGGGCGTCCAGGTCCTCGAAGGAGTTGGAGATGTTATGAGTCTCAGCTCTCAGTGATTTTTTGCTACCCTAGGGGTAAGGAGGGAGGGAGGGAAAGGTCAGGGATAGGGGCTTAGAGCTTCTGCTGCCCTATAGCCTCTCCTCCCCATTAGCCAAGATGTGGGCTCTTACCTGAGGCCTACAGGAGCCTAGGCCCTGAGACAATTTTTCACCTTAAATTCTCCACTGTTCCTAGGAGCCCTCTCCTAGGCTCCCAGGACTCACCTCCCAGGCTCCCGGCTCCTCCTCAGACCTCCCGTCCCAGATCCTTACTAGTCAGGGAAGGGTACCCTAGGCCCTTGGACTTCCCCCCACATCACCCACCTCTCAGACCACTATGCTGTCTCAATGTCCCCGACTCTAGCCCCTCGGCCCCTATCTCCCTAGCTCAACTCTCCCGGCCTCCCAAACCGCAGTCTCTGACACCCAATGCTCTAGTCCCCTGGGCTTTAAAGCTTCCGAATTCTCAAGGCCAAGGCCCCCAATTTCCTGACATTCTAGTTCAGCTGCCCAAAGAACCTCCCACTTAGGTGTTTGAAAACGTGTGTGGAGCATGGCATGTCCCAATGACTGGGATCAGGTGTTCTCCTGGCATTTAGTGCCCAGGGACCAGGGTGCATCCTGCAATGCTTGGGGACAGTCCTGGAAAAAATGCCAGTATTACCCCCCATTGGGAAAGTGTAAATCCAGGGTCACAGCTCCCAGCTCAAGTCATCTAGGCCCCCTGGAAATAGGGACCCCTAGGCCCTGCCCAAGTAGGGTCCTGACCAGCAGGTCCTGGAACACGGCGCGCAGGGGAGCTATGGAGACGCGCCAGGCTTTGCGGGTGTTGTTGAGCTGCAGTTCCACCGTGCAGCCCAGAGATGCTACCACCTCGTTGAGGTTGTGTCGCAGGTTGGCCACCGGTCCTGGGGAGAGGATGCCCTGATGAGTCATCTCCCTCTAGAGCTAAGTAACTCTTAAGCCCACCCCTAGCTCCCACTCTGCATGCAGTGACCGCCTTCTAGAACTGTATATAATGGGGCCCTGTTGCTCTGGCCGGTTTGGCCCAGCGGTTAGAGCGTGGGCCTGTGGTCCAGAGAGACCCGGGTTCGGATCGCGCTAGGGGCACGTACCAAAATAATAATAATAATAATAATAATAATAATAATGGGGCCCTGTGAGAGGTCATCTCATTCAATTCTTGATTTTTTCACCTGTGTAAACTAAGGAGGCCCAGAGACAGGGAGGAATTCTCTCAGAGATACACAGCAAGTTGGAGTAGTGGGGATCAGATTCCCACCCTTTCTCCTTCACAGGCCTGGCTCCCATTGGGTGTCCCACCCAGGGTCACTAACTAGTACCCAGGACACACTCACCCTCATAGATGGCAGCCAAGGCGTATCCCAGCACAAAGAATCTGCCCTCTTTGCCCAGCATTTTGGGTACTAGCAGGAGGCTGGCACAACGAATGTGAGGGGACGTCCCCCAGCCCACGGCCCCAGAGCCTGTCAGGAGAGCCCAGGATGTGGTGAGGCTGAGTGAGGAACCTGGTTTGTTTACCAAACCCCCTGCCCCAGTTCCTTCTAGAATCACCACCATGCTGGTCTTGTCCCCATTTACACTGACTCTGATAGGCCTAGAAGGCCACTCATTTGTTTACTTATTCAACAGCCATTTACGGAGTTCAACCCTGTGCCAGTCTCCGAAGAGCTTGGAGAGATGGCTGGAGATGGGAAAGTCATGGTTGGTGATTGACTCTGTGTGTGTACATGATGCATGTGATTGTGTTAGGGAAGGGGGCCAATAGTTCCCATTTCCATGTTGGGTTCACATTTACCCTAGGTGCTGAGGGAGCAGAAAGAACAAGAGAAAGAGCCTGGAAACAGGCGCTGGTGCTCAGAGCAGTCAGAAGAGAGGTCAGAGCCACCTTAATATCCCCCAGGCTCTGACACCTACAGCACCACGATCTCTGTCCCTAATTTAACCCTTAAGCACATATCTCCTGGTATGTTTTAGCAGTTTCACGTGTGTCTCTCTGTGGTCTATGAAAGGAGACAGTGAGTCCCTTGAAGCTCATAATCCAGGGAGAGAGACAGACGAGTAAACAAATGACTACAGCACGATGTGCTCAGTGCACAGGGAGGTGCTTATAAAGAGCTGTGGGAGCAAAGGAGGGAGTGGGCATTTCTGCAGGGAGGGGTGGGGCTGCGAAGGCTGGACAAAGGAGATGATGTGTCAGCTGGGTCTGGAAGATGAGTAAGTGTCGTAAGAAGGCACAGACAGTGTGCTAGGCCAAAGGAACAGCATAAACGGGTCAAGGAACCTAGAAGATTCCTGTGTTGATAGAGTGTTCGTCCAAGAGTCTCCAAAAGCAAATCTCAGCCCAGCCAGTGTGGCTCAGTGGATTGAGCATCGTCCCATGGACTAAGAGGTCCCAGTTCAATTCCCCATCTGATTCCCCCAGTCTGATTCCCCGTCAGGGCACATGCCTGGGTTTGGGGCGCTATCCCCAGTAGGGGGCGTGCAGGAGGCAGCCAATTGATGTTTCTCACATCCGATGTCTCTTCTATTTCTCTCTAAAAAAATCAATAAAAATGTGTTAAAAAACAAACAAACATACAAAAGCAAATCCCAAGTCTTTATGTTTCACTCCATCTCCATTGCCCTCAGAGAGTTCCCATCATCTATCACTGGGACTAACTGGCTTCCTACTTCCTCTCTTGCTAACCTATATGTCGATTTTATCAGGCAGCCAGAGTGATCTTGTAAAAACACAAGTCAGATCAGGTCCTCTTTCTGCTTCAAGCCACCCAATGACTTGCTAGCACGCTTGGGATCAGATTCAAACTCCCTCAGCATGGTCTACAGACTCTTGTGACCTGGCCCCGCCTCCCTCCTGAAGTGACCTCATGCTACTTAGCCCTTCGCCCACCATGTCCACCCACACAGACCTTGCTGATGTTTCTAGAACATGCCACGCTCATTCCTCCTCCCGGGGCTTTGCCCAGGCTGCTCCCCCAGCCAGGAGCACCCCTCCCTGTATTCTTCACCTGTCTGGCTCCACCTAGTCATGCAGGTTTGCTGCAAACCCTGCCGGGTGCCACCCAACAGTTTGTTCTGCCTTCTTTCTTGCTAATATAACTTGACTTTCGTTCAAGGGCAAAGGCCTGTCCCTGCCCCGGCCCCTGGGAGTAAATCTGGATTTGTCTAACCCAATTGTGGTAAAACAGGGCATTGAAAGGGGCTTTTTCTGTGGTCTTGGCCTTTTGACCAAAGACTCAAGCTGAGGATGATAGTTGACAGAGTTGCCCTACATTCTAAAGAGAGCCCAATGGAGCTGCCAACCCCCTCCCTTGACTCCCAAGAAAGCAAAGCTAGTCTCTCAATCCCTCCACCCTAACCAGTCTATATAAAGACAAGACCAGAAATCTGAATGTTCTGAAAGTGAAGGGAAGTGGTGGGAGTAGACAGGCATTGGAGGGAAGACTGTGAAGAAGTTGGGCGTTCACTTCCCCATGTTGAGTGAGAGGCTCCAAGAGAACCTTTAGAGACTGGTGCTTTGAGAAGGGGAACCTGGTCATCTGTCCTGGGCGCGACTCCTGCTGAGCTGCAGAGCCTGGGCTGCCACCAGAGCCCAGAGCCCAGGGGCAGCTCATGGAGTGAGAGTGGTCCATGCTCTCATCATTGCAGGAGAGGGCACCTGCAGGCTGCCCTCCTTGCTCAGTTTGGTAGGGCTAGGAGTGTGTGTTTCCTCTGGTACGAGAGGCCATTCTGGAGGGGAGCAGGCCTCAACTCATCTGTGAGGTTCCCATCGAAAAGGGCACCTGCCTGTATGAGGGATCCACAAAGTAGGAGGCTGTGGGCTGTCTGCAGGAGCTGTGGGGGAGCTCCATCTGAGGTCAGCCAAATAGAACTGCCCTCAGCAGAAATCTGGCCTCCACAAGGTCCACACAGAGCCTCAAGAGACCTGAACAGGCCTCTGAGACAGCCAGGGTGTGTGCCTGTCACACAGAGGAATTATAACAGTATGGGTGACTTCAGACTTCTGTCCCTTTCTAATTCTAATTCTAATTCTTCTAATCCCCTTTCTGACATCAGAAGAAGGGGAAGAAGGTGGAGAAAAAGGTAAAGGATTGACCTTGCCTTCTTCTCCACTACAGGACCCCCACACCAGGGGTCAGGCCTGAGCTGAGGACGTGGGTGGGAAGGAGGGAGGAGGCTTGAGTAGGAACTGATAAAGAAATTTTGATATAGACTGAATTGAATCTTTTTAACCTAAAAATAGTCATAATTACTGAAGCAGGACTGTCTTCTAAATGAAAGTCACCAAAAAGCTAAGGGTCTACGCGAAAGGTCATCAGTGACAGAACAGTTTGAATACAGTGGTTAGAGAAAGAGCAGTTTCCTGTTGGGATCCCATAGAGATTAGTTCCCTCAGCAAACTGGTGGTGAGGACAGTCCCATGCTCCTTGCCTGGGACGGGTTTAGGGAAGGGCATGTGCTGCAGTGTTGACCAGGAGACGTGAGGGGAAGCTGGCTGGGGGGTTACAGAAAAGTTTTCCTTGTTCTTAAAGAAAACAACAGGCTGGAATGCTCATAGTCATAGAAGATGTTATGCCTGCGGTTGCTGCAGCAACTCCATGACCTGAAGAGGAGTGGCTGACAGGCCAAAGATGGCAGAGAAGAAAGATCAAAGGGGTCAGGGTCTTTGGTGGGTTTACTGAGCTGCAGAATTATCCAAAATCCAAATTCCACTCTAACTTGAAACTTATTATATGAGATAATGAACTTTCTCTACAGTTAAACCACTTTTAGGTGGGTTTTCTGTTCTTACAGCCCAACACCTCCTGATAGTCAAATGTCACCTTCTCTGAGAAGTCCTCCCTGACTACTCAAGCTAGGGTGCTCACCAGCCCCTTTTTTTTCATACCATTTGTCACTATCAGAAATGCTACTGCTTATTTTTTATTCACTTAATGTCTAACTCTCTCCACTAGAATGTAAACTCTAAAAGAGCTGAAAGCTTCCTGGCCAGTGTGGCTCAGTGGCTGAGCGTTGACCCATGCACCAAAAGGTCGCTAGTTCGATTCCTGGTCAGGACACATGCCCAGGTTGGGGCCTGATCCCCAATGGGGGGCTTGCAGGAAGAGGCTAATCGATGTTCTCTCTCATCGATGTTTCTATCTCTCTCTCCCTCTCCCTTCCTCTCTCTAAAAAAATGAATAAAGAAAAAAATTAAAATAAAAAAATAAATAAAATAAAAGAGCTGAGAGCTTGTCAATCTTGTTCATTGATAAATTCTCAGCAGGTGCACAGTTAGTGCTGAATGAATTAATTGAACTTATCAAGAGAAGCAAGAAACAAGGCCTGAGAGGTGAGGAGAGATGGGGATTAAGAAAGGTCGTGGAGTTTGGACAGTATCATGTGGATAACAGAGGCCTTAAAATTGAGTAGACTCCTAAAGGGTAAGGACTGTGCCTTTTTGCACAGATGGGCCTCTACCCTCTGTATCTTCCCGTAAAGCCCAAACAAGGCTGAGGAACAAGCTCAGATTCCTTCCTAGGGACCTAGGACTGAGCCATGTTCCACAGGCCTCTTGCTAAGGTCCCTGTCCCTAGCCCAGCACTAACCCACCAAGCTGTACAACATCATCATCTTCTGATCTTCATAGATGTTCATAGGGTTCACCAGGAGCTGAAAGAGACCTAAGGGGACAGGGTCAAACCAAAGATCAAAAGATGAATCCCACCCCTAACCTCTGCTCCGCATTCACCTATGGCCAGGAGTCCCCCGGTGCCTGCCCCCAGCAGGACAGCAGTGACCGGAAACTCGCCTGGTTGGCGCCACAGGAATCGGCTGCAGGATGTGGGCAGTCCCCAGCTCAGGAGCCTCTGCACCGCTGAGAGGGTCAAAGAGCTTAGCCCATCAGAACCAATACTTCACTCCTCTCAGGATGTGGTTCATCAGGGTTTGGGCTTTGCAGGGGACTAGAGGCTGGGGGAACCTGGATGAGGATGGCAGGAACTTTAGGGATCCTGAAGGAGGTGAGGCAGACATGAGTGAAAGAAGAAGAAAGGGCTCACCTGAAGGAGAGCACTGAATGAAAGGGGTGGGGACCCCAAAGCACTGGGGGGTCCTGGAGGTGAGATTGGATGAGAGGAGGGGGGCTGAGGGCCCTAGGAAGCGTTGTGCTCCGATGACAGACTCACTGGTGTGGGGAAGTCTCCTCCTTCGCCCTTTTGCTCCATCCTGGTGAAATCTGGTGTCCATAGTCTGCTCTGAGGGACCCTCTCTCACCTCAGAAATCTCCTCAAGGCCGTTCTGGGACATGAGGCTCTGCTTCCATCACCTCTGCCTCACCCACACCTGTTTGAGGTCTGTCTTCCGATCCTCCCTCTGCTCTGAGATATGGGGATGGGGGTTAGAGATTTACCTGACCCTTCCCCAACTGGGGAAAGAATTCCAACACACACACAGTAAAAGCCCCCCGGAATCTTGGAACACCATGAGAAATTCCAAGACTCTTTCAGAACCTGCTGGGTGTCTCCCGGAGACAGGCAGACATTGGGTCTCAGCAGCCATGTCCAAAGTCCTGAAGGATGTTGTGCGCTCCTCGGGAGCAGAGGAGCCGAGCATGGCACGGGCGGTGGTTCGAAGTCTGGGGGGCTTCGGCCTGGGCTTGTCCTTGGCCACGGCCTATGGGCTCCTGGAGTTGCTGGCGGAAGGGCTCAGCCCCTGGGGCTGCCTGGTGGGCACACTGACTCTGGCTGCCTTCCTCAGCCTGGGCATGGGATTCTCTCGCCAGGTCCGAGTCACTGTCTTCCTGCTGCTGCCCCAGGCCTTCTCTAGTGAGCGTGGCACCCAATGGGAGGGGCAGGTCCTGGGACAGGGGCTGGGGCAGAATGGGTCTCGGGGGCCGAGGAAAATACTCTGAAGTTTTCTTTAAGGGATTGGATGTGCGGCCATGTGCAAGGCTGGGGCGCTGGTTCTGACGGAGCTGCCTCCCCAGAGCAGGGCCGGACACTGCTGTTGGTGACCATCTTTGGGTTGGTGCTGCAAGGGCCTTGTGCCAACACTCTGCGCAACTTCACCCAAGCCAGTGAGGCCGTGGCCTGTGGAGCAGAGCTGGCCCTGAACCAGACCGCTGAAATGCTGGAGCGAGCTAAGCAGCCCCTTGTCGGTAAGGCCTCTGGCGTCAGTCCTCTGCTGGTCCAGGGCCCCAAGCTCCATGTGCCCAGTTAGACCCTCTCATCCATGCTCCCTGGCCTACTCCACTGCCAGATTCGCCACCACCGAAGACCCAGGCAGCCAGGCTTCCCACCTCCCGGTGGCAGCCCCTCCTCCACTTCCTACCCCAGGGACAGCGGTAAGAAGGAGCCCCCAGGGGAAGACACTCCACAATGCCTCTGCCTCCGGCCTCTCAGGTGCCCTGAACAAGATTAAAGCCATTGCCCGGAAGGCCAAAGTGGTGGCTGACAGCGTCCGCAAGTTCTTTCGGTCAATCATGGATGGAGTGAAGCATGTAGGTCAGCACGTTAGCATGTCTATTTTTTTGAGTGGGAGGTCAAAATTCACCCAGTCTCCTCACCCTCACCCTTGTCCCAGGATTTTTGGGCCCCTCCTGGGTGCTGACTAGTCCCTAGTGATGCAGCCACACAACCAGGCCCCTGACCACAGGCCTCTCCAGCTCTGGGAGCGGTCCCGGTGTTCCTCAAATCCCCGAGAAGATGCTGCAGGTCTTCGGGCCTGAGTACCAGCCCCGCAGCTGTCCCCAGCCAGGGCCCTTCGCAATGTGTGGTATTGGCTCCTGCATATCGGAGATGTGTGCAACTCAGAGCTGGGCAACCCTTACCTGAAGTGCGCACGGGTCTTCGATGACGCCAAGGACAGCTGCATGAAGGTCATACCACAGGCTTATCACCTGTGCTACGTGCTCATGCCCTTCAAGCTCGTGCTCTGTGGACTTGCCAGCGGTGAGAGAGCCGAGGGCTCACTGGCAAATGGAGGGGTCAGTTGGGAGGGTGGGCCCAGGGGACCAATAAAGGGTGACGAATACGGGACCAATATGGATGCTGACCCCGCAGGGGGTGGAGGGAAGACAGTGAGAAACCAGTGTGGGAGGGTGAGGTAATAGGGCGAAGCTAAGGTTTGGAGGCCAGTAGGAAAAGCAAAAGGTCAAGAAGACCCTGTGAGAACAAATTCTCGGGAGGTAGGAGAGGCAGGCCGAATCTCTGCCCTCCTGACACTCCTTCTCTGGCTCTCAGTGGTCCAGGTGTTCTGCATCATCCCCAAGTACGTCCAACCCTTCTTGCGCAAGACCATGGGCACCCGTGAGTGACCCCTCTGAGCCCTGCCTCCTGGGAGGTCTCCTTCCCCCATCTCAGTATGGCCCTTGCCAGCCCAGGTGCTGCCCGTGCATGGATGAGAATGAAAGAGCAGGAAAGGACCTCAGAAGTCACCTGGCTCAGTGTCTGTGCTGCACAGATCAGGAAATTAAGGACCAGCCAAGGGGAGGTGTCTCACGAAAGCTTGACCATGGAGCAGGAGGAGAACCAGGGCCTCCCACCCCTGGCAGGTCGCTGTGGAGACTGAATGCTGGAGCCGAGCTCACGGGGCGATGGCACAGCTTGTGGCGGCTTTGTCCCTTCCTCAGTCCAACGCTGGGGGTTCCCGTTGGTCTGTGAGCTGTGTGGCCCCTGAGCTGTACCAGGCCCCTCCCTCAGGTCAGGCTCGGTCTCTTCCTAACTGTCCTTGTTCACTTGTCCCATGATCTGCCTGCTTCAGCCGTGCAGAAGTTGATTAACCGGGTGCGTAAAGAGTTTGAGTTCAATGTGACAGCCACCCACTACTTCTCTGTGGATCTCAATGCCTCTCGGAGCCTGTCCCAGGTCGCTCTGGACCTCTACGAAGCTGTGAGCATGAAGCTGTACCGAGCCCGAGAGGCCCTGGCTCTGATGGGCTATGCCACACCTCTGCTGCTTGTGCTTCTCTACCTCCAGTGAGGGCTGGGTGGGGCAGGGCAGGGCGGGGCTACTGGGGCTGGGACAGCCCCCTGGCGTTCTGGAGGCTGGAGTTTCCGCGCTGGGGGATGGAGAGCTTGGTGCCCTGTACGGTCTGGTCAGGGGTGCTGAGGAGCCTGTCATGTGCTCCCCCAGAGCCCTATTTTACCGGTACGGTTACCTGAACTGGGACAGCTATGACAACATCTATATCACCAGCCGATTCCTGCGCATGGAAGCTGTCCGCTCCAAGGCGGGCCTGCCCACAGTGCTGCCACTCACTGCCCATGAGGCCAGACACTATATCAAGCCGGGTGAGGGCCTTGAGGACCAGGACTGGGAGACAGAGACCCTGAGATAGGCCAGGGCTTCCCCAACCCCTCTGCTCAAACCTAAACCCCATGCCCAGGCTGGGTTTGGGGCAGGGCCAGGGTGGGGAGAGGGCTCAAGGCAGTTTCAGGCTCAGGGAGACACTGCTCTGTCCTTGGGGAGCCCTCAGTGTGAAAGGGGAAAGTAGGGCCCCTCCCAGCATACAGAGAAGGGGCAGAAGATGCTTCTAGGAACACCTGGATGTCAGGACAGAGGGAAGGAGAGACGAGAAGTAGATGTGGAGCCAGGGAAGCGAAGTTGGGAAGGCTTTGGGGTGGGCAGGAAGTGTGAATGCAGTGATACAGGAGATGCGGCTTATGGGGCTGCCTTGAAGCAGGGAGTCAGTGTGAGAATCAGTGTTGCCCCAGGAGGGAGGGTTCCTAGAGCCTGGAAATGAGCCCCCCGGCCTAGGTGCAGAATTTAGACCTCCACTTCTAGCTCTGGAGCCCCTGACCTTGAAGAGTGCTTCCCACTCTGCCCAGTGGTCTTCACAGCTACCGCACCTTGCCGATGACACACAGGCCCCCCTTGATCAAGGGCAAGAGGCCTCTCCGAGAGAGAGAGCCCTCCAGGCTCTGGAGTCTGCTGGTGAGAGAACTGAGGAGCATCCTTCTGACCACTCCTTCCCTCCTCAGGCTCCATCTTCCTGTCCCGGAAGGAGCAGATCTTCTCCATCCCGCCAATCTTACAACTTATTCGGCACCTCCTCCTCACGCTGCTCCTGATCTTCCTGGACTACGCTGTCTTCTGGGTGCTGGACCTGGCCCGGCACCAGCTGCAGGGGGAGATTGTGGCCCGCAGTGAGCACCTGAACCCCCCTGCCCAGCTCAGCGCCCTTTGGCCTGCTCCTGCGTCCTCCCCACTGTCCCCATCCTGGGGGGCTGCCTGAGTGTCCCCCATCACTGTTACTCACCAGCTTCTGACTTTGCTCTTCTTCCAGCTCTGTCCTCTGCCTGGTAAGACCTGTGTCCAGGTCAAGGTTACACCATAACAGAGTAGTTAAAACCACAAGTTCTAGAGTCAGATGACCTGGGTTCAAATCCCAGCTCTGCCCTTTACCAGGTGGTGACCTTGAGCAAGCTGTTTAACCTCCCAGAGCGTCAGCTTCCTCAGAGTCTGAACAATGTGATGATGATGGCAGCAACCTCCCTAAGTCACTCTGAGGAGTAAATGAGACCAGTGTGTGGACTGCCTGGCAGACCATGGACTGAGTGTGCCGAAAACCATGGACTACAATCCTGTGCACCAGAGGAGCAACAAAAACAACAAAAAACAAAACAAAAAAACCCCCACCCCAAACAATCAATAAAGCACTCAGTCCATGCCTGCCACATAGTCAGTGCTTAGCTAATACTTCAAGTCAAATGCTTCTGGGCAGCAGTGTAGGTGAGAGATGGACTCACTGACCATTAAGGTCATTTCAGATCTGGTGGCCTGGGCAGGCAGACCAGGCACCGTGCCAGCCAGCTCTGCACCATGGAGCCAGTTCCAGGTGCCAGGGGCATCAGAGGCCACTGGCTGAGGGTGACAGGCCATCCCTGAGACCTGCACTGGTCCACTTGCCACCCTCCAGAAGGTGTGGCTTTTGCTGTATGGGGGAGTGGCAGCTGCCACAGTAGACCTCACACAGTGTCTTTGTGCCAGGCCCTGTGTTAGTATCCATAACTGTGGAAGGCAGTGGCTATACTGGGAAGATTTACCGTGACCTGGTGTCAGCATTTGATGTCCTGCAGCAAGGCAACATCACGGTCTTGTCACGGCGCTGTCGCCTGCATCCCTCGGAGCCCAACACCACTGGTTATATAGTCATTGGTAACAACCACACCCCAAGGGCACTGGGGAAATGGACCCCACTCAGGGCATGAAGGGTGCAGACTGCTGAGGGTGCTGTATATGGCTGGCAACTGCACCACCGGCAGTGGCTACTGTGCCCGCTGTGCCCCCAGGCATCATGTATGGACTATGCTTCTTCGTCACCCTGTTTGGAAGCCACGTCAGTCGTCTGCGGCGGGTCATCTGTGCTTCCTACTATCCATCCCGGGAGCAGGTGAGGGGCCCACAGCCAGTCCCTGCCCCCTCCTCAGGGGGCTAAGCTCATGGCTATCTTGGTTTTGGGGAGCTTGAGTCCTTCAACAGCTCTATCTCCTCCGGTTGAACCCTAAGCAAATGACCTAGACTGAAGGTCTCTGGACGCCTGCTGGGGCTGGGAGAAATAGGGCCTCTTGGGCAGGGCTTCCTGAGGCGGAGCTTGCCTCCAACATGCTGTTAAACTGTGGGAGAAGGGGTGTGTGGGCATGTGGAGGTGTGAGTGGAAACTCGCCATTTGCTCGTTTCCAAATCACTGAGCATATACTGTATGCCAGCCCTCGAGGAGGCCACGGTGAACCAGATAGTCTGGAGCTCACAGTCTCCAGGCAGGCCAGACAGGCTCTTAACAGGACATTGCAAGTAAACAAGTGCTTTTATTAAAAAATAAATAAATTGGCCTGGCTGGTGTGGCTCAGTGGTTGAGCGTCGACCCATGGACCAGGAGATCGCTGGTTCGATTCCCGGTCAGGGCACATGCCCAGGTTGTGGGCCCGATCCCCAGTAGGGGGCATGCAGGAGGCGGCCAATTGATGTTCTCTCTCATAGATGTTTCTATCTCTTTCTCTCTCTCTAAATATTAATAAAGAAAAAAACTTTTTAAAAATAAATAAATTGCTATGGAAACTCAGAGGAGGGCGTGGTATCTGCCTGGGGGAGCCTGGAAGAATTTTCGGAGGAAGGGGCTCTTGAGCCAAGGCGTTGGGTAGAAGGAAAGGGGGGGGTGGGGAAGGGTGCAGAGGGCATGCCAGGCAGATGAAACAGGATAAAGGGAACCCCATTCCTGACCTGCCCTCCACCAGGAGAGGATCTCCTACCTCTACAACCTACTCCTGAGCCGCCGAACCAACCTGTTGGCTGCCCTGCACCGAGCAGTGAGGCGGCGGGCGGCTGACCAGGGCCACGTGAGCATCCTCCAGGTGCTGGCCAGGCGGTGAGCCCACTGTCCTTCCTTATAGGAGTGGGGCTAGAAGGGACAGAAAAAAAGCCAGAGGTTCGGCCTTGGCCGGTTTGGCTCAGCGGTTAGAGCATCGACCTGCGGTCTAGAGAGACCCGGGTTCGGTTCCTGCTAAGGGCATGTACCTCGGTTGCAGTTTGTCCCCGGCCCTGGTTGGGTTGTGTGGGTGGCAGCCACTCAGTGTGTCGATGTGTCCCTTTCACGTCGATGTTTCTCTCTCTCTCTCTCTCCCTCCTACTCTATCTGAACAAAAAATGGAAAAATGTCCTCAAGTGAGGGTAAAAAAAAAAGAAAAGCCAGAGGTTCGAATGGATTACTGTTCTTCCTAAGTGTGCAGAGGTTTGGTTGAAGAGGATGCCTGCTCCATGCCAGTCTTGCACTGAGAGGCAGGATGAAAGACGAGCATTCTTAGAGTTGGGAAGTGAAGGGAAAAGGAGGACAGGAAACGGAGGGGTTGTTGCTACAGTCAAAGGGATGAAGGTTAGCTTGTAGGAAGACCTACCCTTGGTTTAGAGGGTGGTGCTGGAGAGGTGGACAGTTAGGCTGGCTGCCTGCTTAGGGTCTGGGACCCCTCTCCTCAGGTGCTTCTGTCTGGCTCCATTTATCAACCACTTTTGGCGGCAGCAGGCCTACTGCCTGGGCTGTGGACAACCCCAGGACGAGGGGGCCACAGAGAACTTTGTGTCCTGCAGTACCCCAGCCTGCCGAGGTGAGATCCCTGGACAGTGTGCCTCTCCCTGCTGGGACTCACGACATTTGCATATGACAATCAGCTGTGGTCCTTCATTTAGGGACTCCTCCTGTACCTCACCTTTTGTATTCCTCCCTTCATTACTCTGCTCGTTCTTCTCATTTACATAGAAGCCTCAGGTAGCTCACTCTCCCCGCGTTTGCCTTACATCTCCCCTGTGTGAGCAGAATTTATATGCCAGTGGCATTGCAGCAATTTCCTAGCGTGCGCTGCTTGACAAGGACGGTGACCCAGTGGTGGGGCAGGGGAGGAAGTCAGGGAGCACAGTGGGTAGGTGGGCAAGCTCAAGTTTACCTTCCCTCCTGGCCCCTCCAGGTCTCTTCTGCCTCACCTGCTTCCACCACCTGGACAACACCTGCTCAGTGTGCGCATCTCCGCTCTCCTACCAGGGAGAGCTGGACCTGGAGCTGTGAGTCTCGGTGGCGAGATGGGGGGCTGGAGTCTATGGGGAGTGGGAGCAGCCATCCCTCCCCCAGGACCTCTGTAGGCTACTGAGATGGGAGGCTTCTCCAGGGACTCCAGTGATGAGGAAGGCCCCCGGCTATGGTTGGCTGCAGCCCGAAGAAAGGACCCTGCGCAGGAGGGGTTACTGCGGCAACGGCTGCAGGAAGCACTAGGCAGGACCCTGTCATCGACGTCCAGCTCTGAGTACAGGTGAGCAGAAAGCAGGAGCTGGGGCCTGGGAGGCCTGAGTACGTTCTGTCACTTTTACAAAGGGCTTGCTGGGTGCCTGGCCCTCTGCTAGAGCTGGAAACAGATGAAAAGGGGAGGGATGGAGGTTTGCTGAGTGCTTGCTCTGTCAGCCCCCCTGCCCTGGAGAAGCCCACCGAATGGGGGGGGGTGAACCTAATGGACAAGTGACAACAGTGTGGAGAGTGCCTCGTTCAAGGGGTGAAGCAGGCAGGCAGAGAACAACTAATTTGGAATGGGGATACATGAATGAAGGTTTCAGAGAAGAGGTGAAAAAAGAGGCGGAACTGCCCAGCTGGTGTGGCTCAGTGGTTAGGTTTGGTCAACCCACACACCAAAATGTCACCAGTTCGATTCCCGGTCAGGGCACATGCCCTGCATATCCCCAGTGTGGGGCATGCAGAAGGCAGCCAATCAATGTTTTTTCTCATCGATGTTTCTAAGAAAACATTTTTTGAAAAAAAAAAAAAGAGGTGGGATTGGGGACAAGCTAGTGGTGTGTTAGGCTGAAGAGTGGAGGAAAGCACTGTGGGGCGGGGGAGGGGCTGTGTGAGTCTGGAGAATGTGAGACACTTAGGAGGGGACAGCCTAAGGGAGGGTGTGTGTGTGTCTGGGTGGAAATCTCAGAGAATGTTGGGAGAGGAGGCTGGAATTCAAGAATGGGGAGAGATGGGAGAAGGCATGACGTATCTGAAGGTTATTGGTCAGAAAGTGACATGTTCATATTTGTCTTTTAGGACAATAAGCTAAAAAGGCAGAGAGGAGGCTGTCTTAGTTCAGAAGTTGGTGCTGAGGACTGAGGTGCTGAGAGAGACTGGAGCTCATGCCTGGGACGGCGCAGGTGCTAAGGCAGGAGGAGGGACCGGTCTGGGGAAAGAGGAACAGTGCAGTTTGAGACCTTTGAGGTATCTATAGGGAATCCAACTGGAGAGGCCCAAGAGGGCAGGGCTCAGGGTCGGAAGTGTATTTTGGAAGTTGTTGACTGTAAGGAGGATGAGCTAGCTTATCCTGGCAGAGGGCATGGCAGGAGAGAAAGGGACAGGAACAGAACCCCGAGGGGCTCAATCACAAACCAAGGAGGAGAAGGGTCAAGAATATGAGAGAACCAAGCATATAAAATGCTGTGAGATGATCACGTAGGATGAGGACTGAAGACTGGCCATTGGATTTGGTGGTTGAGAGATCACTGGAGGGACTAGTGGAAACATTTTTCATGGCACCAGGAAGGCCCAAATCAGATCATAATTGGTTGAGGGGTGACTGGTATAGGATTGGCCAAAAGTGAGAATCAGAAATAGGGTTCAAGGCTCCACATCATTTTACAAGATGTTTAAAAACATCACTGCTGTAATTAAAAAAGGAAGCTTGATGGCAAAGAAGGGGGAGTTAGCATCACATGACAAAAGAGTAGCTTGAAGGGGACCCAGCACGGAAGGATTTTTCTTTATCCAAGGATAGGGAGACCTGAGTATTTAGGAGGAAAAGAAAGCATTGGAGAGAGAGGACTGTCGCAGAGATGGATCAGGGGCCAGGTGGACAGGGTGGGGAGTAGAAGGCAAGGGTGGCTGCTGAGAGCAAAGGGGCGCTGGGAGTGGAAAAGAGGTTTCATGGTGGTGGAGGGTGAAATACTGGCCTTGGGGAATGTGCAAAGAAGCCGAGAGGGGAGGTTAAGGAATTTCCAGGTAGCGTTAAAGGCCCAAAAGATGTTGAAAACCATAACCTGTAATGACTGATCGGTGTGCTTGGTTATGTGTTTGTTTGTTTTTTTAAAATCCTCACCCAAGGATATTTTTCCATTTATTTTCAGACAGAGTGGGAGGGAGGGAGAGAGAGCGCGAAAGAAACACCGACGTGAGAGAAACAAATTGACTGGTTGCCTCCCTCACGATCCGACCAGGGCTGGGGACTGAACCACAACTGAGGTACGTGCCCCTGATGGAATTGAACCCGGGACTCTGGTCTGCGGGCCAATGCTCTAACTGCTGAGCCAAACCGGCCAGGGGTATGTGTGTTTTTTTTTTTGTTTTGAATTTTTATTGATTGATTTGAGAAGGAGATCAATTTGTTGTTGCACTTATTTATGCATTCATTGGTTGGTTTTTGTATGTGCCCTGACCAGGAATCAAACCCACAACCTTGGCATATTGGGATGACACCCTAACCAAGTGAACTACCTGGTCAGGGCAAATGTGGTCATGAACAGGGTTCAAAGGTTGACGACTTTTTCTGGGTGGGTCAGGGGAAAGACAAGATGGGGAGAGAATTGAGGTCTCTTCAGAAAAAGTGTCTGAGATGACTGGTCTTGGGGAAGAGAAGGGCCTGAGACCTCAGGGGAAGTCCAGGGTCCAGGTCAGGATGTGTTAGAGCAGGAACAGTTGCCAGGAAGGACAGAAGGGATGAGCCATAGTTAAGGAAGAAATCTGGGATAATTCCAGTGATTGGCCAAAGTTGAGGGAGATGCCCGAGTGGGAGCAGAGGTGAAGGTCATTAGGGCAAGGTGAAAGATTGAGAGGCCAGAGTTGGATGAGTCCTCCATTGAGGAGGCTGCTGGGCCACACAAGCAGTTAGTCTGAGACAGCACCTTGAAAAGGTGTGGCAGGGCATCTGGGAGGCCTGGGGGGACAGCCAAGCTCAAGCTGTGTGGCTGCCATGACAGTCAGGGGTTTTGCAAAAATGCCATTGGCCCGTGGGGTTTGAGAGATAAGCAGCCTCCACTTGGGAGATGTCCAGTGGGCACATTCTATGTGAAGGAGGTTGGGGGTAGTGTTGAGAGGAGAGGTTGAAGGGGAAGAGAAACTTTATTTCTAGAGGCTCCAGAGGGCCCAGGGAAGTTAAAAGCTGAGTGGCCAGAGAGGGGCAGCTTGAGCCTTGAGCAGGTATTATCATGAGGTTATTACTGGTTCTGCCCTCACTAGACATGTGACCTTGGGCAAGTCATTGCCCGCGGGTCCTCAGCATCAGCCTGAAATCAGATGTCCACAGCTGTGGGCTGGTGTGCCTGGGTGCCTGCAAGAGCAGCGGGGGCTGGTGCATAACAGGAGGCAAATCTGAATACATGGGACAGGGGCAGGAATGTACCTGTGAGAAGAGAATGTTGGTGACAAACTGGGCCACCCCCTTTCTTACCTCACTAGTGACCTGGATGAGGAAAGCCCTTGACAGAGGAAGCACAGGCCATAGCCCCTACCTGAGCTCCAACTGTTAGCATTCTCAAGCCCTCTCAGCCCCAGTGACCACCTCTGAAGTCCTCTGTCCCCAAAGCAGCCACTCCCCAGCTTTGGAACTCCAGGCCTTGTCTCTCATCTCCCTCTCTTCCTGATTCCTCCCACCAACCCCAAAATAAAGGAACCAAAGGTGGACAGTGTGAATCTTAAATTATTATTATTTCTTCCTGTCACTTACACCAGAGGTGGGAAATAAGGGGAGGGGAAGGGAACAGGAGAGGGGGGTCGCCTCCCCCACTAAGGCACTGAGTGGAGAAGCCGCAAGGAGGGAGGGGGGAGGCCACATTGTCCTCACTCCCTGGGGATAGGCCCCAGGTCTCCCCAAGCTTGGGTTCCCCTATCACCTGAAATGCTAAGATGAGGCCCAAGGCAACCCGACCTCCCCCACCCCAATATATTACATCATCACTTTTTAAATAGATACAGGGACTGGTCCCACTACCCCTCTCCCTGTGACCCCCCCCATTAGGGGTACCTGGGCAGCTGTGCAAATGGGCATGGGGGTGCATGGGAGGGAGAGCACCTGGCCCCTGAACCTGCCCCTTTTAAGGAGGGGGAGGGGCCGCCAGGCCAGGGGGTTAAAATAGTGCAAGGCACAGCCCAGGCCGAAACGGGGGTCCAGCACCCAGCGAGGAAGGGGAGGGGAGATACCCCACCCCCAGCAGAATCGGGTAGTTAAAAATCTGAAACTAGATTTCAACAAGACCAACAGAAGAGGCTATGTACAGAAGGGGGCAGATTTCATCTTAGAAGAGTGAGGGATTCTTCTCTCCGACCCAAAGGGAGCCTGGCTGGCGGGGTTCGGGGAAGGGCCTCCCTTCCCACAGCTCCACAGCCCGCTTTCCCGCGGCCCAGCAAGAAGTGATTAGCCCTGCCTCGGGAAGGGCGGCGCGCCAGCCGCATGGTCGAGGTGAGGAAGGAAAGCGGCCGCCGGGGGCGCTCGCCCGCGAGGGCACGGCCGCCAGATGGCGCCGGCTCGCCCGCTCTCCGCAGGCTCCCCGAAGCCGTCACCCCGGCCCACACCCAGCGCCGCGCCAGCCCGGGGGCGGCGTGAGTCAGGGGCGGCAGCGGCTCGCACCTGGGCGGGGAGGAGGTGGGGAGGAGGAGAAGAGGGTAGGACACAGCCCGGCCCGCCCTGCCCTCTGGCCCCGGGGAGGGAGCGGCGGGAACAAGACATTCCCTGCCCGAGGACGCGGGAGGGGAGGGGAGGACTGGGATCTGCGGAGCAGCACCCCTCGCTGGGCGGGCCCTTCCCGCTGCCCCCAGGGCCAGGCGAGCCAATCAGGCCACCCCGCCCCCTTCTTCTCCAGGACCCCATGACTCAGCGCTGGGAGCAGGGCGGAGGGGGACTCGGATGGCTCCTTCCTTACAGGCCCAGTCCCCCCCTCCCCCGTCTTTTAAGCTTCTACCTTGCTTTCCCCCATCTCCCCTTCTTTTGCCGCCCCCCTTTGCACTGCCAGGAAAAGGGAACAGAAACTAGGAGGGAGGGGTCTAGGAAGGGAGGGGCAGTCCTTCACCCCCTTACACAGACAAAGCCCCAAGGGGCATGGGAGCAGGGCAAGGCTTTGGTCCCAAGCCCCCCACCCCCTAGAAACCCGCATAGCTTAAGAGGAACCCCACAAATCAGAAATACATTATTGCTTCTACTCCCCAGGCACAGCTGGGGACAGGGACCTCACCTTTACAATAGAGCTGTAAATATATACATACTATATGGATCACTCCTTGGGAGATCACCCCAATCTGGGGAGCTTTTGCTCCCAAACCTTCTCAGCTTGGAACTGGAATGAGGGCTCTGGGGAAAAGGGGATGATTTCTGATGCCGGAAGCTCAGTGCTCTGACCCCAGCTCTATCTGTCCTGGAGGCTCCCACTGCTTGGCATGGGTGGCCCCACTCTGTGCTGCTCCAGCCTGGCCACTCAACCCTCTTTAAGAGGACTCCATGGCACCTTCCGCCTGAGGAGTGGTGGGTGCCCCCTCCTCCTCCTCCTCATCAGGGGGCCCCGGAGTGGAGACTGGGGGCCCAGTTGGGGCTGACTGCTCCCAGAATCGGGCCAGAGAGAGGCGGAAGGTGTCCAAGTGGCCATTGGAGAGGTCGAGGCCAGCAGAGGATGGGGTGGTGGCAGAGGGTGGTGGGTAGTGGGGTGGTGCATCGTCCTTGCGGCGCCGCCGGGTGCGCACTTCCAGGCAGTTCTGGCCCTTGAGGTGGCGCTGCAGGTGGTCCTCCTTGGCAAAGGCCTTGTGGCACAGGTGGCACTCATAGGGCCGGTCCCCCGTGTGCAGGTGCATGTGGTTCTTGAGGTCGTAGCTGTGCAGGAAGCGGGCGGGGCAGTGCGGGCACGAGTAGGGGCGCTCTCCAGTGTGCTTCCTCATGTGGATCTTCAGCTTGTCATTCCTGCACAGGCAGGAGTGAGGGAGAGGGATGTTCAGGATGGGGTCTTTGGCTCATCCTGGCCAGATTCCCACACCTAGTCCCACTCCCATTCCTCACCACTTGTTTCCCCGTTACTGCCCCAGAATACCCCTGCAGACATATCCTCAGCTTAGCTGGGCCCGGCTACCACCCATTCTGTCTCCCGCAAGCCTTCTTGGACAGCAAATCTTTCATGCCTCAAATCCATCCCTCTTGACTCCCTTTCTCCTGGTCTTCCTATCCTGGTCTCTCTCCTCACTCTGGTAACCCCCCTTCCAACCACCTCCCCACCCTCAGGTCTCATGACTAACTCCTCTCTCCCTCCCCCATGACATGGCCCCTGCTGGGCCTCTCCCCACTGGTGCTCACCGGGTAAAGCGGACACCGCAGACCTCACAGGCAAAGGGCTTCTCGCCCGTATGGGTCCTCATGTGCCGTGGTAGTTTGCCTGCCCCATGGATGATCTTGTGGCAGACGGGGCACTCCTGGGGCATCTGGGAGCGGCGTTTGCGCACCAGTTTGTCTTGGCTGTCCAGGCCTGGTGCCAGGGCATCCTGGTGCAGGGAACTTAGGTAGGCCATCAGGTCAGGATCGATGGCATCCTCATCTGAGCCCAGCTCCTCTGGGGACAGCGGGGGCCCACCGACCTGTGCCAGCCTGTAGGCCGGAGGGTATACCAGCTCTTCCTCCTCTTCCTCACCTTCATAGGGCTCATAGCTCAGGGGCCCCTCAGGGGGTGAGGCAGTCCCTGTGGGAGGGCTGTAACTGTCTCCCAGCCCACTGCCCCCACTGCTGCCCACTTTGCCTGCCACCTCCTCTTCCTCGTAGGTCAAAGGATGGGTGGGTACTGCAGGCACCTCAGGTACTAGGTGGTTCGCCCGGGCCCCCTTGGTCTGCAGGAAAGCTTTTCGGGGCTTGCGGCTGCGACGAGCAACAGGTCGAGGTGGTGGTGGTGGCGGTGGTGGCGGTGGGAGGGGCACCTGTGGTGAGCTGTCTTCACCGTTGGGAACTCCTGAGGCTGTGGCAGTGGCAAAGGCCTCCAGGTACTGGCGAGCTCGCTCACAGTTATCCTCGTCAGGGCTAGGAGCTTCTAGTCCGCTGCCCTGCAAAATCTCCATGCAGGCGGCGATGACACAGGGGATCTCCAGCAGCTGGGCGGCCTGGAGCACAGCCGGCATGTTGGCGCTGCTGGTGGTCAGTGTGGCTGTATAGGCAAACTCGAGCAGGGCGCCCAGAGCCTCTGGCCCCACAAAGTCCAGCTCACACACACCAGCCCCTGCTCCCGCAAGGGCTGTCCCGCCGCTTCCACCCCCACCCCCACCGCCCATGACCGCACCACCGCCCTCAGTGAAGAGCTTCTTGAAGTAGTGGCTGCAAGCAGCCAGCACAGCCCGGTGGGTCCGGTATTCAAGGCCCTGCGTCCGGATGGTGAGGTCGCATAGGTGGCCCAGCTGGCGCTGCTCGTTGAGGCAGCTCAGGAGCTCACTGCTGTGGTCCGGGAATGGAATCCCAATGAGGTCGTCCTCAGGGCTCCCCATCTTCTCCTGCAGGGTCAAGTAGACGGGCAGGTTAAGAGCGCTCAGCCCTGCACGGGGATCCAGGGAAGGCATACCAGCATCGGCCAAGGCTTACTGACGGTACTACACTGATACTCTTGCAAGCACTTGACACTCATTTACTCTTCCACAACCCTCTGAAGTAACAATTATCCATTTCACAGACAAGGAACCTGAGGCAAATTCAGGGGAAGTGACTTTCCAAGTTAAGCAGGATGGGGTTCAAACACAGGCAGAGGGCCCAGAGTCCGTGTTCCTCACCACTGTCAGCCTCTGTGAGAGCAGGCACCCTGACTTTCTGGCCCTTGCCTGGAGACCCATCTGCTTCACCTGCCCCATTCCCCACCCCTTGGAAGAGGCACTGGAGTGGGAAAGAGGATGCCTGGGTCCTGATTCAGGTTTTATGAAGAACTGCCTGAAGGACTCTGGGTACCCATGGCAGCTGGCCTCAGTCATCGGAAAAGTGGGGTAACAGACCTAACAGCCCAGCGAGAGGCCAGTGAGATTTCAGATTCACGTTGGACCAAGGTCTGCTGGAGGCATGTCAGGTGCTTTAACTCAAGTTATGTCCCTAAAGCAATTGGTGCACTGTAAAATACTATGCAAACAGAAGAGGCAGCTTCCCAGCACCCTCCTCCTCCTCCTCTCCCACCCCTCCCCCACCACTAAAAATGCATCTCCCCTCTATATCCCCTCTTCTAGAGGCCAAAAGGGAAACACAGCTCCCAGCATCCCGTGCCCCCCCACATCCTTCCCTCCCCCATGGGGCCAAGGAGCAGCAGTGCTTTGCTGGGGTGTCGCTGGCTGGCTGGCTCGGGTGCTTCCTGCCCCGCACAGATAAGCATCGTCCCTGCCCCTCCCCCACTGCCAATAGGCCAAGTTCCAGTCCCACCCCTCTCCACCTCTGCTACCACCACCACCACCACCTCTCCCTCCCCATTCTTGGCCAGTCAGGAGAGCCTCCCCCCATCCAGAGAGCCATCTTCCAACCTCTAAGCTTTCCCCCACAAGGTATGGCCACAGAAGGCACAGAGCTGGCTGCCAGCAATTCCAAGGCTGGTGGAGGTAGGGGAACGGGTAGTAGAGTGAGTCTGGCCCGGAAGTATGGAGATCTGTTTCAGGTCCTGGCTCTGCTACTAGCTTGCTGAATGAGCTTGGACAAGTCATTTCTCCCTGTACTTTAATCCCCTCAGCTGTACAAGGAGTGGGCGGGAGTGGAAGCCCTAGGGGCTCAGCCCTTTAGCCCTGACATTTGGGGGTTTGGCGCAACTGGAGACGGAGTTGGGGCCTGGAAAGAGCTGAGCTCTAGAGTCAGCCAGGCTTGAGTTTGAATCCTCACTCTATGCTGATTAGCTCTGTGACCTTTTAAATGAGTGATTTAATCTCTGAACCTCCTTCCTCATCTTTAATATGAAATAATTCCACCTGACTCCTAGAGTGGTCATGACTAGGTTAAATGAGACCAACCATGGCACAGTGCCTGATACACAATAGGGGCTCAATAAATGTTCTGGCCTTGGGAGGGAGAAGCAAGGCCTCGCCTGAGGGCAGATTCCACTGTACAGATGGCCTCTGCTGGGAAAACTACTTGGAGACAGGTCTGTCTCCCTTCCTCAAATCACCCCCAAGGAGTCAGCTTACTACCAACTATATGACCTTGGACAAGTCACTTCCTTTCCCGAGGAGGCCTGTTTTCTCAGCTGTAATATTAAAGACTGACCTAGATGATCTTTAAGACAAGTCCCACTGAAGTTTTGTTAGTGTTTTCTATGCCACTCACAATAGCTGCTCAGCCCTGGCCACTGATGGGGAAAGGTATTGGGGGTGGGGGGTGGTGGAGTCAAGGGCCACACATTTCCTCTTTAGGACATAAGAACTGCATTGTCTGTGCCTGCCTCCTTGCCTGACACCTTCACGGCAATGCCAAGACTCCTCATGGAAGCCTTGAGTGAGCAGCACCCACGTGTCTATCTTGGCTTATAAGCCACACCTAAGTGGCCTTAGAACAGTCCACCCATTCCCACCTTAAGTCCCCAAATCACTTCTTTCCCTGGGGGCCAAGCAATGTGGGAGCACTCCCAGTTCCCTTTGATTCTCCTGCCTGTACATTACAAATAGTACAAGTGGCAAATTGCTCCAGGACTCAGGAACAAACAAAAATCCAGTGGGCAGCAACAGCAGTGGCCACTTAAGCAGTAGTGGGCACCCTCCTGGGCCCAAGCAGATCCTGTCCTTCCAGAGGGGGATGGGTGGGGCTGTCCTCACTGTCCATTGGCCAGGAGCTGGACACCCATATGCACGTGGCTCCTCTCATCCCACTCCCCTTTCCCTCCCCACCCCACCCATTCCTGCTGCTAAGTCTGCCTCCTTTCTCCCACCCCAAGGCCAGTCTCCATGGTAGCTTGGTGTGACAGGAGCACTGATTGGCTGACCCTGCTGTCAGGTCAGAAGCTCAGGCTGGTACACTACACAACTCACACCTGGTTTGGGTAAGGGTGGGTATTTAACCCCTTAGGTCCAACTCCAATGCCCACGGCCACCAGGTAGCAATGAAGGAATGGAGAGGCAGAGGACACACGTGGGAAGGGCAGGTATTCATATGGTTCTCTAGCTTCTGGGAAACTCCCCCAGCCCTTACCCAGGGCTCTGGCACCCATGCCAACTTAGGTGCCACCTGGAACTATGCTGGTGCCAAACAGGCCAAGGGGGCACTCCTAGTCCCATCTGGGAGGGGTGGGTGGGGTGGAGGCCTCCCCTTCCTTTCTGCCAGGGTGGAGCACTGGTGCCAGGATGCCCACCCCATCTTGGGCACCCTTCCCACCTCTGCATCCAGAGGGCCCAGTCCCCTGACGCCCCATGAGGGCGGCCCATCCCCACCCAGCCTGGCATGCCCCCTCTTGCTAAGACCTTGTGGGCATGGGCGTGTGGTGGTTGGGGGGGCAGCTGTGCCAGGGAACCAGGTGAGGTCTGTTTGGTCTGTTTGCCTGGTAGGGGGAAGAACTGGGGGCCCCGCCCCATCACTCCCCCCTTTCCCGCCACCCCCCCAGGCTCCCCTCACTGTCAGGCCTGCTAGACCGGCCAAGCCAGTGGGCAGCTCTCTTGAAACTGGGCCCTGAGTCAAGCCTGCCCCATCGTTGGTGGGGGAAAGACTTTGGGGTGAGAAAGGTGGGAGCCCCTACTGCCTACCCCTCAGTGCCCAAGGGCACCTGCCAGGGTGTGCCCACTACCAAGAACCAAAAGGTAGAGGGCAGTGAAAAGGGAAAGGGCTTGGGAATGAAAAGGAGGCCAGAACTCTTTCCAGGGCTGACCTCGGGCAGTGTCCAGTGCAGGGATGGGGGCACCAGGGCCAACATTGCTGGCTCAAGCCAGCTGAAGAGCAGGGATCCGAGGCCCTGAACAGGGCAGCTGAGTAAAGCTGGCCCCCCTTCCCCACACCCTGGGGATTAGGGGAGTGAGGCTTAGTGTGGGGGGCAGCAGGCGGAACCAGGATTAGCAGTGGAGAAAATAGATATGGGCCTGAGACACAGGCACACAGAGCCCCCCCCCCCCCCACTGCTCCAAGGCCCCCACCTCCAAGCTCTGCCAGGGAGCCTGGTCAGGCTTCTCCAGGTGCAGCAGCTTTGGGTGAGGGAGGATGAGGACCGGCTGTGACATCCTCCTGTCAGGGGTGATGGAGAGACCTAGAGCTCTTCCTGGGACCTTGGCGCCAGCCACCCCTCCCCCTTACTTCTTTCTCCTTGCTATCCCTCAACTCCCACCCCAACTCCAGCCTCAGGTTCTCTTCCTGTTTTTTTGGAGCTAAGTTTGCACGAAGCCAAGGGCTTTGGCCTGTGGCTGGACCAGGGGGTTGGGGAAATAGGACAGCTAGTCCAAAGTCCTCAGGGACCCAGGAATCCTAGTTCCCCAGCTTCTCCCACCCCTTCCCAGGGCCTCTGGGGCCCAGGGGCTGAAGCATCTGGACTGCCTCATTGGGAAGGCAGGGTGAGGGGCTGAGGTGAACCCCCTGGTGTGCTGGAAGGGCTTCGCAAGAAAGGCCCAGGACTGTCCAAGGCCTTTACAGAGCCCTTCTTTCCCCACCCTAGCCCCTCCAAAGCCAGTGCAAGACTTCCCCATCCCCCATAGGCTGCTTCCCCCCTCCTAACCTCACCACCCCCAGCACTCACACTTCCTGGGGGCCTAGGCGGGGAAGAGAGACCGCAAGCCACGAAGGGGGAAGGAGGCAAGGGGAGCTGGCTGCTTCCCGGTGCTGTGGGGGTTAAGCTTCTCCTCCCTCAAAATCCCCAATTTCTGGTGCGTCAACTCCTGACATGAGGGAGACCTCAGTGTTCCCTTGCATTTTCTTTTCCATGACACCAGCCCTAGCCCACAGCTTCTCAGCCCCTATCAGGGTGCTATGAGGGACATAAAAGATGGCGGAGGAAGGAATGGGGACACCTCCATCTTCCCCGGCCTTCCTCACTTTACCTTGGGGGGCCCCTGCCCATCAGCCACTCTCCACTCTTGGCCCCTTTCCTTAGCCTCCTCTGCCCCGTGGTGCCTTCCCCAGCCCTTGTCCTCTCGCCGCCACTCATCCTCAGCTTTCCTTCCTTCGGCCCTTGCCAGGCTACTGCTCCTCTACCTCATCTGTGTCCGGAGGCTCCTAGAAACCGCCTCTGCCTGTGCTCTTCCCTTCCAGCTCTCTTCCAGGTCTCCCACTTTTTTTTACTTCGCCCTACTCCAGGGATCTCTTCTCTTCTTCCCAGGCAGGCTCCGTGTAGAGAAGAGCAGAGGAATTAAATCAAGGAGCCTGGCTTGTTCTCTAGGACCTGGTCTCGCCATGGAATGGCCACTTTAGGGTACCCATGCCTCCCTTCTGGGTGAAGCATAGGACCAAAATTTGGGGGCCAGTTGAGGAGGATGGGTGGGGGGGGTACAGTGACAGCGGATGTGGGGGTTGGGTGGGGAGGACAACCTAGGCTTCTCTGCCCGTCAGAGTTTCCAGCCCCGAA